CAAGAAAAAAGAAGATTTGGGTAAGCACTGTATTTCTTGTTTTTCATGTTTTTTCTTTATTTATTGTTATAAAAGTAACTAAAATGTAAATTTTCATTTTTGATTTAATTATGAAGTTTACATTAACTAATAAATTTCAGTGTGATTAGTCTAATTACTGACATATAACTATTTGTATGTTCATGTACACTGACCATTATATAAAGAATAAAATTATCTTCCTTTTTAAGCTCTAAAGTCATTCCAAAACCAACTAAAATATCCAGTGTTTTTTTTTTTATCTAGGAAAATTATGCATTTTTTTATACATAAAATAAATAGATAAACTCATAATAAGTCATGAGGTTAGCCTTAGTATGACACTATTATCTTTTGCTAAGAGATTGTAAAAAAAAATTAAAGATGTTAATTTTTTCATATTAGTGTGTTTTTGTAGATAACAGGAAACATGATTGATGGTGTATGCTGAGACATGTACTTTGTAAATATCTATATACGAGTTTAGGCCAACCACTAGCTTTGCTGTCAAATTTAAGCAAGCTACCAGCTTTTCTGTCAAGTTTAGACCAGCTACTAGCTTTGCTGTCAAGTTTGAGTCAACTACTAGCTTTTATGTCAAGTTTGTTTGGGCCAGCTACTAACTTTTCTGTCAAGTTTAGGTGAACTACTAGCATTTCTGTCAAGGTTGGGTTAGCTACTAGCTTTCTTGTCAAATTTGGGTCAGCTACTGGCTTTTTTGTCAAGTTTGGATCAGTTACTAGCTTTTTGTCAAGTTTGGGTCAGTTACTAGCTTTTTGTCAAGTTTGGGTCAGTTACTAGCTTTTTTGTCAAGTTTGAATCAGCTACTAGCTTTTTGTCAAGTTTGGGTCAGCTACTAGGTTTTTGTCAAGTTTGGGTCAGCTACTAGGTTTTTGTCAAGTTTGGATCAGCTACTAGCTTTTTTGTCAAGTTTGGATCAGCTACTAGCTTTTTGTCAAGTTTGGGTCAACTACAAGCTTGTCTGTCAAGTTTGAGTCAAGTACTAGCTTTTATGTCAAGTTTGATTGGGCCAGCTACTAATTTTTCTGTCAAGTTTGGGTGAACTACTAGCATTTCTGTCAAGGTTGGGTTAGTTACTAGCTTTCTTTTAAAATTGGGTTATCTACTAGCTTTTTTGTCATGATTGAGTCAGCTACTGGCTTTTCTGTCAAGTTTGGGTCAACTTCTAGCTTTTCTGTCAAGTCTGGGGCAACTACAAGCTTTTCTGCCAAGTTTGGGTCTGCTACCTGCTTCTCTGTCAAGGTTGTTTGGGCCAGATACTAGCTTTTCTGTCAAATTTAGGTGTGCTACCTGCTTTTCTGTTAAGTTTTGGTCAATTACTAGCTTTTCTGTCAATTTTGGGTGAACTACTAACATTTCTGTCAAGGTTGAGTTAGCTACTAGCTTTCTTGTCAAATTTGGGGCATCTACTAGCTTTTTTTGTCATGATTGAGTCAGCTACTGGCTTTTTTGTCAAGGTTGAGTTAACTACCTGCTTTTCTGTTGAGTTTGGGTCAGCTACTTAGCTTTTTTTTGTCAAGTTTGGGTCAGCTACTAGCTTTTTTGTCAAGTTTGGGTCAGCTACTAGCTTTTCTGTCAAGTTTGGGTCAGCTACAAGCTTTTCTGTCAAGTTTCAGTGAACTACTAGCTTTTCTGTCAAGTTTGAGTCAACTACTAGCTTTTCTGTCAAGTTTGAGTCAACTACTAGCTTTTCTGTCAA